AAACAGTTGAACTAATTGACTTAGAAGCATGAGTCTAGACGGCAAGAGCCCATGTCATTTTGGAAAAGTCTGACAGTTTTCTTTATGTCATTCTGAGCCAATGTATTATCTTTTAAAGACTAGTGAAATGTTTTTCTAAAACCTTTTTAGACGGTTAACGACTTGACTTAGATGGCAAGAGTGAAGAGTCCATGTCAGTCTTGCAGTTTTTTCTATGTGGATGAGAGCCAATGTGTGTTTCTTCTAGTTGCATTAACACCACAAGGCAAATGCATCTTGCATTTGCTTCATCCTTTATATTCACTTTCCTTCAAAATAAGAGAATCACGGAAAGCTTTTAACCAAAAAAAAAAAAAGATGAGAAGCATGAGTCGGTTTCTTTTACTTGCTCTCATTGTTCTTATGTTACTTGAAGCATATGGTTTTACTGATGAAATTGATAGGAGAGCATTGTTGGAGTTCAAGTCTCAAGTTTCTGAAGACGGAAGAGCTGTCATGTCAGTCATTCCCTCTCTGCAACTGGAAAGGGGTTACGTGTGGCCGCAAACACAAGAGAGTTACTGGTCTGGACCTCAGAGAATTGCAATTAGGCGGAGTGGTATCACCATCTATTGGTAAGCTTTCGTTTCTCATATCACTTGATCTCTCTGATAACTCTTTTGGTGGAGCCATCCCTCAAGAGTTGGGAAACTTGTTTAGACTTAAACACTTGAATATGAGAATTAATTTTCTGGGAGGAGGGATTCCAGCTAGTCTGTCTAACTGCTCTAGATTGTTGAAGCTTATATATTCAAATAATCTTGGAGGAGGGATTCCTTCACAACTAGGGTCATTGACAAAGCTTGTTGGTTTGTTTCTTGGTAACAACAACCTGAAAGGGAAGCTCCCTGCATCTTTAGGAAACTTGACATTACTCAAACAACTTACAACAATATGGAAGGAGAAATTCCGGGTGATATAGCTAGGTGGACTAAAATGGAATTTCTTGTGTTAACAATGAATAACTTCTCTGGTGTTTTTCCTCCCCCCATCTACAATCTGTCCTCACTTGAGATCTTATCCATCCCTTACAATAGTTTCTCGGGTAGCTTGAGGAGTGATTCTGGTAATCTGCTACCAAAAATTCAAACGTTATTTTTGGGAAATAACTATTTCACAGGAGCCATTCCGACAACACTTGCTAATATCTCAAATCTTCAAGCGTTGGCAATCGAGAACTGCAGCCTTCGAGTTTCGGAAAAGTAGAGAATTTGCAAGTCATGTCGTTTAGTGGTAATTATTTGGGAAATTACTCTTATGGAGATCTTGAATTTCTAGATGCTTTGACGAACTGCACCCAACTAGTGACCATAGCTGTTGTTGAGAATAGGCTTGGCGGTGACTTGCCTGCCTCCATTGCCAATTTGTCCAGGAGCCTCGTCCATATAAAACTTGGAGAAAATCACATCTCTGGAACCATTCCTTATGATATTGGGAATCTCATAAACCTACAAACACTTGAGCTGGAAATAAATATGTTGACAGGACCACTCCCGACCTCTCTTGGGAAGCTTTCAGACTTGGGAGTATTAAGTGTCTATGCAAATAGAATGTCAGGAGAGATACCATCTTCTATAGGCAACATCAGTCGGTTATTAACACTCTCTTTGTCCAACAATAGTTTCCAAGGAACTATTCCTCCGAGTCTTGGTAAGTGTAGTTATCTGCTACAGTTATGGATTGAGTATAATAAGTTGAATGGGATTATACCTTTGCAAATCTCAACCCTTGTTCACCTAAGCATGCAAGGTAATTCTTTGACCGGCTCACTTCCAAAAGATGTTGGACGACTACAAAAGCTTCTTGTTTTATCTGTTTCGCAGAATAAATTGTCAGGACAACTCCCACAAACCCTGGGGAATTGTCTCTCAATGGGAAAGATTTATCTGGAAGAAAACTTTTCTGATGGACCCATTCCAGATATAGCAGGGTTGGTTGGTCTTAGACAAGTTGATTTGTCGAGAAATAATCTTTCTGGAAGTATACCTGAATATCTTGCAAACTTTACCATGTTGCAGTATCTCAATCTATCCATGAACAATCTTGAAGGAAGGGTTCCAATAGAAGGAATATTTCAAAATGCTACTATAGTTTCGGTATTTGGGAACAAAGATCTATGTGGAGGCATCAAGCAACTGAAACTAAACCCATGCTTTCCACAAGCACCACCAATGGGATCAAAGCATTCCTCTCTTCTAAAGAAAGTTGTGATTGGAGTAAGCATAGGCATAGCTTTGCTTTTGCTATTGTTCATAGTTTCTCTACCTTGGTTCAGAAAAAGAAAGAAGAACCTTCAGACCAATTCTCAACCACCTTCCACTTTGGGGGCCGTCCATGAGAAGATAAGTTATGGAGATCTTCGAAATGCGACGGATGGCTTCTCTTCGAGCAATTTGATTGGGTATGGCAGTTTTGGTACTGTGTTTAAGGCATTGTTCCCTGCAGAGAACAAGCTTGTTGCGGTGAAAGTTCTAAACATGCAGAGACGTGGAGCAATGAAGAGCTTTATGGCAGAATGTGAATCTTTGAAAGACATAAGACACCGTAATCTTGTGAAACTATTGACGGCTTGTTCGAGTATCGATTTCCAAGGAAATGATTTCAGAGCTCTCATCTATGAGTTTATGCCTAATGGAAGCTTGGATATATGGCTGCACCCGGAGGAAGTGGAAGAGATTCGTAGGCCCTCGAGAACCTTGACTCTTCTTGAAAGGCTTAGCATAGCGATAGACGTGGCTTCTGTTTTGGATTATCTTCATGTTCATTGCCATAAACCTATAGCTCATTGTGATCTTAAGCCAAGCAACGTCCTTCTAGATGATGATTTAACTGCCCATGTCAGTGACTTTGGTCTTGCTCGTCTTCTCCTCAAATTCGACAAAGAGTCCTTCCTCAACCAACTTAGCTCAGGCAGCGTCAGAGGAACCATCGGCTATGCCGCACCAGGTAAAAATATTATACAACTGTCATGTTTAAATGAATAAAATTACAGTATAATCTTACGGTATTCCAATCTTGTTGTATTTGTGGATTATATGGTGTAGAATATGGAATGGGAGGACAGCCATCAATACATGGTGATGTGTATAGCTTTGGGGTTCTCCTTTTGGAAATGTTCACTGGAAAAAGACCAACCAATGAGTTATTTGGTGGAAACTTCCTCCACAGTTACACCTTGCCCGAAAGAGCATTGGACATCGCAGAGCAATCGATTCTTCACTGCGGTCTCAGGGTCGGTTTCCCAGTTGCAGAATGTTTGACAATGGTTTTGAAGGTGGGACTCAGGTGTTCTGAAGAATATCCGACGAACCGGTTGGCAACGAGTGAAGCCGCAAAGGAGTTGATCTCAATCAAAGAGAGGTTCTTCAAAACCAGAAGTTGAAGTGTTTATGGTGTTCTCTACAAACTTTGCTACCCACTTGATCTGAGGCCTATATATTATATCATATTTCATAATCATATTTTTTACTCTATTAAATATACTTAGGCATGCAATATTGTCAATGAGTGCTATGTTAATTTGTAGACTGATGAATGGTGTGTTACAATATTGTTATTTATGCTTTGTTTGCTTACCGATCAATATGAGTGTTTTTTGTTCAACTTGGATGTTTTGGGGGCTTCGTAACCAACCACTTCTGTTATGAATGTGTGATAACA